TGCTATTAGTAGTAATTGAAAATCCGCTTTAGTATTGATCATCTCAAAACCAGATCCAGAACTGTGGCTACCGATCTTATGTAATTGAACTAGTTCAACTTTGATTATTTCTATGTATGAATCCATACTCAAATTTACACTTGATCAATACTTTAATCCACGTATAAATAAAAATTGTATTCATTATTACATACATTTATGTGGGTGTCAAAAGAAGAGATTATGATAACAACACGAGTAATAAATTATGTGGAGTAAAGTATCTGTTGTTTTATGGCTGTTGTGTACCTTAATTCCTAAGACAACACTAGTTTATTGAAGAGAAATCTATTCTAATTAATATATTCATTCAATTCTAATTAATAACTGCATATGAAATGTTCGACATTTGTCCTATGTACTTACTTTATATTTGTTTGTTTAACGACATTTTCTTCAATAGTAGTGGAAGGATTTTCGCTACACTTCTCGTTTATTTTACATATTTTCATCATATCTTGTTGCTTGTCTCGACTGAAACGGTTAAACAGTCTTGTTATTGACCTTTATACATTCCCTCTGTGTGTGTGTGTGTACATATCCATGTCACGTGGCCTATTTGGCCAATAAAAATCAATACATAATGTTAGACAAGATGTGTGTAAGTTGAACAGCTTACAAGTACTGTTATAAATGTCATATTTCTATTCAAATAGAATTATCATATTGATGTGCAATAAATTGAATAAAGATAGGCATACTGATTGTATTTGTTTACTTATGTGGTTACATAACATGAACTCATTTTGTAATTTGAAAGATGTATAACTTATTTATTTTCAGATGACGAAGTTTTAGAACAAAATCGTTCTTATATGAATAGATGAAGTCAAAGATTTGCCTACCTGCCGACGTACTTCATTTTATCATACTCATTTATTCTGACTGCAAAATAGTTTCCGAACACGTACAGTTGTCTGTAATGTAATAACATCATGAGTTTAATTTACACATTCTTTAAAACAAATAATTCAAGGAATATTATCAGTTTTAGATGAATTCCATTGATCAATCTTTGATCTTAATCCAAAACAACAGGGAAAAAAAACGTGCGACTTAAATGCTGTGTGGAGGCAATCAGCTAATAATCCATATACATATGTATCAATAGAGATTGATGATTTGCACCTCTCAAATATCAACAATGAGAAAATAAAAATCCAGCAGATTTTGAGAATACAGATGAATTTGTTAAACTCCCGAGAAATTTTTATCCCTACTCAGCCAATCAAGAAATAGCCAGTATATTTGTATAAGTTATAATAAAAAAGTGGAAGAGATTATGAATTATATTTTGGATAGTGTAATAAGAAGATGAAGATTATTAGAACCATGTGATATATCACATGTCTTCTTATTACACTATCCAAATTTATTAAGGGGACTAATTGCTTCAAAAGTATATTTTACTTTAAAACAATTAGTAAATTGTTCTAAGTTGGCTTTAGGTTTTTACCCGTTGGAGTTTAGGGTTAGGATTATGATTTCAAGTTATCTAAGGTAAGGATTAGAGTTAGGTTTCTTAACTCTAAGTATTTATTGATATCTTATTCAATCAGGCTAATCATCATACATACATTCCGCCTGTAGCTCTTATAGGGTTGCTGCCGGTCCCAAGCCCGGGTAAAGGAGGAGGGTTGGGCATGGGGTTAGCGTCCCCATCCCGTAGAAAACTAACTCGCTAAAAAAACGCTTACCAGAAAAAATAATCCAAACCATTTTATCTCTGCCCTGGGAGTTAGAAGGTCTTCATTTAGAAGAATTATGACGCTTCATGGTGAAAGCCGAGTTCCTTCGGAAGCCACGAGGCCGATGCCCCTTCTAACAACCAGAGCAAAAATTTTTATAGGTACATGGAACGTTCGAACAATGTGGGAAACCGGGAAGACCAGTCAAATATCAATGGAAATGAGGAGATACAACTTAGCAGTACTGGGAATAAGCGAAACCCACTGGACCAAAGCTGGACAGAAAAAGCTAGCTACGGGAGAGATGCTGCTATACTCCGGTCACGAAGAGGACAATGCTCCACACACTCAGGGAGTCGCTCTTATGCTGTCCAAAGTAGCACGAAATGCACTTATACGATGGGAATCTCACGGATCCAGAATCATCAAAACATCATTCAAAACAAAGAAGGAGGGGGTCTTAATGAATATTATCCAATGATATGCATCCACCAATGATAGCAACGACGAAATTAAAGATCAGTTCTACGAGCGGCTGCAGTCAATCATTGAGAAATGCCCAAGAAAGGACCTAACTATTCTGATGGGAGATCTAAATGCCAAAGTCGGAATAGACAACACTGGATATGAAGATATTATGGGACGACATGGACTGGGAGAAAGAAACGAAAATGGAGAAAGATTTGCAAATCTATGTGCATTCAACAAATTGGTCATAGGAGGCACAATATTTCCACACAAGCGTATACACAAGGCTACATGGATCTCACCGGACCACACTACAGAGAACCAAATAGATCATATTTGCATTAACAAAAAATTCCGAAGGACAATGGAAAATGTGAGAACCAGGAGAGGTGCTGACGTAGCTTCAGATCACCACCTAGTTGTAGCCAATTTAAAACTGAAGCTAAAAAAGAACTGGACAAGTGGACAAACAGCAATACAAAGGTTCAATACAGCCTTCCTTCGAGATACTGTCAAACTCAATGAATTCAAGATAGCTCTCAACAACAGGTTCCAAGCCTTACAAGATCTACTGAAAGAAGAAGAAACTACTATGGAGGACAACTGGAAAAGCATCAAGGAAGCATTAACTTCAACGTGTCAAGAGGTTCTCGGTCTAAAGAAATACCATCATAAGGAATGGATCTCTACAGAAACACTGGACAAGATCAAAGAAAGGAAGAACAAGAAGGCAGCAATAAACAACAGCCGAACACGAGCAGAGAAAGTCCAAGCACAAGCTGAATACATAGAAGCAAACAAACAAGTGAAGAGGAGCATTATAGCCGACAAGAAGAAATACGTGGAAGAACTAGCAACGACGGCAGAAAAAGCTGCTAGAGAAGGAAATATGAAACAACTTCACGATACAGCGAAGAAACTAGCAGGGAATTACAGTAAACCAGAGAGGCCGGTCAAAGACAAAGAAGGCAAGCCAATCACCGAAATTCAACAACAGCGTAACAGATGGGTAGAATACTTCGAGGAACTCCTGAATAAGCCGGCTCCAATGAATCCAGTGGACATCGAAGCAGCACACATAGATCTTCCTATAGATGTCAATCCACCAACTACGGAAGAAATTAGAATGGCCGTCAGACAAATCAAGAACGGGAAAGCAGCAGGACCCGACAACATACCAGCTGAAGCACTGAAATCAGACATCGAAACAACCACAAGCATGCTTTATCTTCTATTCAAAAAGATTTGGGAGGAGAAACAAGTGCCGATGGACTGGAAAGAAGGACACCTCGTTAAGATTCCAAAGAAAGGAGATCTGAGCAAATGTGAAAACTACAGAGGCATAACACTACTGTCAATACCAGGGAAAGTCTTCAACAGAGTGTTGCTGAACCGGATGAAGGATGCAGTAGACGCCCAACTTCGAGATCAACAAGCTGGATTCCGTAAGGATCGGTCGTGCACAGACCAAGTTGCGACACTACGGATCATCGTCGAACAATCAGTTGAGTGGAACTCATCATTATACATCAACTTCATTGATTATGAAAAGGCATTCGACAGTGTAAATAGGAGGACATTATGGAAACTTCTTCGACACTACGGAGTTCCTGAGAAGATTGTCAACATTATCCGGAACTCATACGACGGACTACAGTGCAAAGTAGTGCATGGAGGACAGCTGACAGATGCATTCCAAGTAAGGACCGGAGTCAGACAAGGCTGTTTACTTTCTCTCTTCCTCTTTCTTCTGGTGGTCGACTGGATTATGAAGACCTCGATATCTGAAGGAAAACACGGAATACAATGGACAGCTCAGAATCAATTAGACGATTTGGACTTCGCAGATGACCTAGCCCTCCTATCACGTACACACGAACAGATGCAGATGAAGACAGCCAGTGTAGCAGCAGTCTCTGCATCAGTAGGCCTCAGCATACACAAAGGGAAAACTAAGGTCCTCAAATTCAAAGCGGAGAACAGCAATCCAATCACACTTGATGGCGAAACTCTGGAAGATGTAGAGTCCTTCACATATCTGGGAAGCATCATCGATGAACAAGGAGGATCCGATGCAGACGTAAAGGCGAGGATCGGCAAAGCAAGGGTCGCATTCCTACAACTGAAGAACATATGGAACTCAAAACAACTTTCAACCAATATCAAAGTGAGAATCTTCAATACGAACGTCAAGGCAGTTCTACTGTATGGAGCTGAAACTTGGAGAACTACAACAACCACAATCAAGAACGTACAAGTATTTATAAATAGCTGTCTTCGCAAGATACTCAACATCCATTGGCCGGGTACCATCAGCAACAGCCTTCTGTGGGAGAGAACAAACCAACTTCCAGATGAAGAAGAAATTAGAAGAAGACGATGGAAATGGATAGGACATACATTACGCAAATCGTCAAACTGCATCACGAGGCAAGCCCTAACTTGGAATCCTGAAGGGAAGCGAAAAAGAGGAAGGCCAAAGAACACATTGCGTCGGATAATAGAAACAGATATGAAAGCGATGAATAACAACTGGACGGAGCTAGAAAGGATTGCCCAGGACAGGGTTGGATGGAGAATGCTGGCGAGCGGCCTATGCTCCTTCACGAGGAGTAACAGGCGTAAGTAGTAAGTAAGTTTACTTAAATTCATAAAGGGAGCCAATTGCATGTAATCATCATACGTCCGATAGTCAACATAGTGGTTTGATATCTGTTACATAACCTTGAAATGGCTTGCTTGTTCCTGATTACCTCATCATCCTAGCTAAACTTAACCAGAAATAGACCAGTTTTTATATTGAGATGAGTTTATTGATATCAAAACTATATTATTAACATTTTAATACATAATTCAGGGAATATAATTGTGTAATAACACAAGATTTAAAAAAAAATATGTCAATTAGTATATTTGTGAAATAATACTAATTATCTACAATTTGGTTCGGTCATATCAACTTTCATTCTTGTCATATAGTCAACTTCAAATAATCAGTCGTTTCCATACGCTTGTTTTCCTAATATTTTATGCATAATTAATCAAATCATTACAAAATAATCTAAAATAATACTCAGAAGAAATGCATTCTTCTTTCAATAAACTTCTAATGAACTGTTACATAATAAAAAAGAAGCGAATGTTATCATCTTTCTTAGTTAACAAATTATGTTTGTTTAAAATTTGTTTAATCTGTTCAATTAAGTTGGAATATCATTAGTAGTATTACATTTCTGTTCTTCGAACAATGATTTATTTAGTCCATGAGGCATGATAATCGACCTAAATTTTAAGGTACGATGAAATTTTCTTAAGCCTTGTTGTTTTCTTTGATAAACTTGCTGAAATAAAAAATGAAATTTGATGAACGTGACGAATAAGTTGAATAATAGTAATTAATGAAAAACCAATTGGTCATTTATACTGTATAAAAATTAAAAAAAAACATTAAGAGAATACATATTATTTGTGGAATTATATGTTAGTAACTGTTATTCAGTGGATAGATAATCTTGTTATTTAAAACAATTAGTCCCTTTGATAAATTTCGATAATGCAATGAGAAGATGTAGTTTATCAGAATTATGTGATATATTTGCGCAATACATTTCGAACAATCTGATCACACATATACTTGTTAAGAATATTTATATATGAAAAATTAAAGAGAAGAACAACCAACTTCCTTGTCTTGACATCCTGATTACTAGGAGAGATGATGGTTCCATTAAACGTGCTACATATAGAAAACCAACATGGACAGGACAATATCTTAATTTTCATAGTCACTGCCCTATTCATTATAAACGTGGTTTAATAAAGAGCTTATTCAATAGAATCAATCGTATTTGTACTAGTGATGCTATTGAAGTAGAGATGAAGCTCTTGACTGATGCGTTATTCAATAATGGTTACCCTTTGAAGTTCATAAACCGCTAGAAGGGTTGCAATATGACTAGACCTATGATGCTTCTGGCACCCAAAAAGCGAGTTTATATTACGCTACCATTCAGAGGTGACACAAATAGTCTCATGTTGAAACAGAGACTTAAATTAGCTATCAACCGGATATTTTATGCAGCCCAACTTGTCATTATCGAAAAGACAAGGTCTATGTTTCACCAAAAGCCCAAACAGCATGAAAACGATTGTGTCACATCCCATTGTATCTATAAATTTACATGTATGTGTAGAAACACGTACGTAGGGAGGAGCAATCGTGATTTGCAATTAAGGGTGGGTGAACATATACCAAAATGGTTGCAAAATCAGATGAATTCCAATGGTGAAATAAGACCACAGGATAGACAGACATCATCATCCATTGCGAAACATTTGATTGAGACGGGTCATAAGGTTGATATCAAATCAGCATTTGTTGTGTTGTACAAAAGCCTTCAAGGACGTATACTAAGGTTTATTGAAGCCTTGGCTATACGAAAATTGAAACCCCCTTTATGTGTTCAAAAACAATTTGTACTTACACTTAACCTACCCTGGTAGTACTGATTTACTGTCCAGAGTGGTAATCACATTTTCACAGATTGAACTCATGAGTTCAATCTGTGAAAATTTCTAAAAATCTCCACAAAACACATTCTGATAATAGTAATCACATTTGTTTTTGTGTACTTTAATATTTTTTCCTTTGTTATGACTTACTCTTAACCTGTCTAGTTGACCTTTTAATTTTTCATATATAAATATTCTTAACAAGTATATGTGTGATCAGATTGTTCGAAATGTATTGCGCAAATATATCACATAATTCTGATAAACTACGTCTTCTCATTGCATTATCGAAATCTTGTTATTGTTGTTATGGTTTAGACATAGGTGTGAAAGATTTTACAGGATTCTTATTATATTATTTCCTACAAAATGTTTATTTCATTATTCATCACTATGTGAACATGGTTCATGTATAAGTTGAATACTGTAAAAGTTACACGAAAAACATTATTTCGATCATAATAAGAGTTTCAATTGACGAGACGGTTGTAACTAATCAATAAGTCAATATTTTCGTAAGATAATGATAGTACTGCTAGGATACACAATAATTATTATACTTTTTATGATCGTTATTGTATTCAATGCAGACTATTGATATTAATTGTTCTGTGATATCTTCTTACTAGAAAATATTCCGAACATATTCATTCAAATCAAAACATAAAACAGTACAAATTACAAAGTTCAACATAGATCACTTGTATAAATTGATTGGTTTATTAAATTATTTTTTAACACTTGAATTCACGAATCGATTTAAGCTAGACCACCATTGAAAACCTGGAAGCACTGGGCGACTGTTTTGTCCTAGTATGGGACTCCACAATAGTGAGCATTCACGACGCCGCACGCGGGACTCGAACTCAGGACTCTCGGCGTCGCGCGCGAACGCTTAACCTTTAGATCACTGAGCCGACATCCAACGGTGTTAATTTCTAACTTCAATTCAAGACATTGCACAATCCTTCATCTATTGCCTGATGTGGATAACTGTCTTCACGCGACACAGACTGGACTCCACTGGTTACGGCTTCTTATCAGAACTTCAGGGAATCCATCTTGAAACTAATCACTAGTGAGTACATGATTCTCAGGATGGGGATTTTCGGAGATTGTTGTAATTTTAACAGTTAAATTTTGACAATATTATTTAAAAATATATAATAGTAAAACACAAGATAACAATTCTAATCAGTTAACGAAAGGATTACTAATTAAAACGGTTATAATTCATCATAAATACGATATCGAAATGGATTCGGTAAAGGTTAAACATTCATAACTATCTCATGATGAAATTATTTCTATTTTCATTGTATAATTAATGAATACTTGTATTGTTATACTTTTGTATTTTCCGAATTGTAAGCATCTGATTGACTCATAAATTGTTGTTATACGTTGTAATTTCCTCAAATTATTGTTAATTAATTACTGATCTATTATCTAGTTACACCTCATATATGACAGTCATGTGCACGATGCAATTTCTTATTTATTTTATTATGTTGTCTGATATTTAATGTGTATTATTATATGAATTTTGAGTTATAATGAGTAGAATTAAATAAGTGAATAACAGAAATCTTGTCTACCTTCCATGTTCTAACTGGCTACTGGTCTAAAAGGAAGCTGTATCCTGCACCAATTAAATTAAGGGTCAGTCAAAATCAACGTATAGTCCGACAGAGATGTGAATTAATACACTTTTTTACATTACATTAGAACGATGAAATAAGATTCACAGGATGAATAAAGAATAAACAGAAATGATTTATTTGCAGTAATAATGAGAATGACTGAGCGTCGAGATCAAGGCTTAAAACGACACAATGAATAGATATGTATGGAAAGAGACCGGAATTCAAGATCCAGAAAAATATAGAAGGCAGATGCATTTGTCTTACTGTTACCGTTTATCAGCCACGAAACACAATATCTCGAACCATTGATCACGTACACCCCCAACTAGATTGTCTGCACCTGTCAACATGACCTAAACCAAAAGTCAATGATATCATGAAATGACCCCATGTTTTATTTTTGCAGCAATAGGTTCATTACTGATTGATTCTGACTTTGATCAGTATTTTTGTATGCTCTTATAAACTATTCAGATTGTTATTTTACTAATGTGACTTGGTAATAGCGACAATTAAAGCACATACAACTAGAATTGAAAACATGATTATCTTATACTATTGTCACCACTGTATTTCTCTATTTGTCCATCTAACCATTCATATAATTTATTTTATGTATTCAAGCACAATAAGTTCAATAATTATCGTTAATTGTGTTGATTTTAATAACGTATTTGTAAGACATGTGACCAAACAAATTAATTAACTAACTCTCAGAATAAGGTTACGAACTGATCTTAGGTGAACACTGAAAACCTGAAAGCAGCGGACGCTAATTTCAAGCTACTACGGGACTCCTTGGCACTGCACATTTATGAACATGAATCCAGAAGTCGAACTGAGGGTCTTCGGTTGTGCGCGAATCGACCGAAATTAATCATTCACGCCACTGAACTCTGGTTTAGCGATTTAGACGTTGTGGGTTCGTACACGATAGCGAAGATACTGGCTTGGATTCCTAGATGTCGGGTCGCGAATACTCACAGCTGGGGAACCGCAAAGCAGGACGAAATGGTCATTTAGTGCTCCCGGGTTTTCAATAATGGTCTGGCCAAGATCAGATCATACTTCATATTTCGTGGACAGCTTGTTTCTTCTCGAATCATACTGTCTTTGGCTAATCGGTTCTGTTATTACTAGTACTGTTACTACTCCCACTACCCTGGAATGTCATTTCGATATTCTATGTTAGTATGACAACTTGAACTGACCTCATTATTTCCAGAAAATTCGTTCGTATATGCCCACATTCACATACGTGATAAAGCCTAGACAGCTTTAAGGATCACAGTAGGTTACTTTAGCCGTACTGAATACTGAGTTGTAACTCAAAGATACACGCTTCTTGCTTTAATGTATTTGCTAAAAAGCTATATATCCTCGACAGATAGCTGATTTTTAAAACTTTTTATCGTTATAAACACAATATGAACAGTAGTATCTTACCCTATATGTAATATTTTCTTTAGTACGTTGAAATGATAATATGTCAGCACGATTTGAAAAATAATCTTCTTGAGCTCGTTTAAATTGCATTAAATAATCATTTTCATCAGTATTCTGTTTTACATTACAAATTGTCACTTTATTATTTTTGCTTATTGTGTTATTAAGAGTATTTGAATTAAGCTGGTTATTATGTAATTCTGGATCATTCTGATTCAATGATTCCATGAAACATTGTTGATACCAATTTTCAAATTCTAATTAAATGAAATAAAACAAAGTACTACTGTTAATCCATGATAGAAATATTTCGATTCAAATCTAAGGCATACAATAAAAGAGCAACCACTTTACAAAATAATCGGTAGAATTTGATCATCACTAAAAGACTGAACAAACATGACGTTGTGATTATATGTTAAAATTACATTTGAATTTATCTCAGCGATTGAAATTTAAATAATTCCAACGTTTGTTTCAGTAAACTTGTCCGAACGTCTTCAGGGTAAGTTCAAACAAGTTTGTTGGACGAAATGTTGGAATTATTTAGATTTCAATCTCTGATATTAATTTTAATATAATTTTCACATATAATGACTTCTCTATACTCGGCGCCCAATTTTTGTCAAACTATTCGTTCTGATATTGACGAATATTCGTATAAACATGACATTGGTTACATATTAAGGTTGAAGATAAACTCCGATCTCGTTCATAATTTTGACCTTGCACCTAACAACCAAGCGAAATGAAGCGGGAATTGTTATTTACACTGTCTTAATCCATAATGGAGGGTACGCTCCGTTTCCTGTTATTTTTGCTGCGTTACATGTAAAGTGTTGAGGTTTCTACGACAAAAATGCCACTCCATCATGGTACGGATGTGTCAATTGGACCGCACTCAGTCATTATGGAAGAAAAACCACAAGATAGCAGAAATCATACCTTGAATTAATTCTATAATAGGAGTGGTTCCACAATATCTACAGTTCAGTGACTAAATAAGTAACTACGATATACCTAGATGGCTTGACAACGTGGAGTTTATCCCCAGGTCGAATTAATGGACAATGAATTATAAGCATTTTAGTCGTAGAAGAATCCAATCACGGCCCAAATATCTTAATGATAACGTAACAGATTGTGAAGTTAGGTGACGCTAGCTCAAATCCTACAAGAAGCATTAGTTTTCTGTAAATTACTGTTGACAAACAACAGGGAACCTAGATGTATTTTTTTGTCTATATGTCAAAATAGAAAAGAACGTAAATTCATTATGATATTTAAATTAAGTATTTCAAAGATTGTATTATTCAGATAGAAAAATGCTGTAACACTCCTGCTATAACTGCCTTTAGTGTCAGACAAATGTTTATATGAATCTACCAATCAATATGAACAGTTGAATCTTTCTTGTTAGCTGACTGAAAACAGTTGACAGGATACTATAAACCTCGATTTTGTTATAGATTGTGTTTATCAACAAGGCATATCTACAATTCACTAATCGCCTTAAACATCAGAATTCACAACATCAAGTTGAACTTTTTAAATTAAGAAATTCCGATCAACAATCAGAACAATGACTTTGTTTGGGTATAATCAAAATAAAGAACACTTCAATGTATATAGAATATATAACATTTGGAAATCAATACCTTTTCAATGTTGTATAGACCTCTTAAAATGTATACACAATTATGACAGTGTTATATAAATCAAATATTTACAATTGATGAAAACAAACAGACAAAAGTAAAATTTCAATGTTTAAAAATTTAATTAGAAAGTCATACAACTCTAGTGCAAAATCAATTTCAGTTTATCAATATTATCTATCTTTTATTTCAAGGTATAAAGATTAAGAATGCCTAAGAAGTAATCGTTGTTTCTAATAGAAATTTCATTACTGTTAGAATAGACATTTCTTGTCAATTAAATGATTTTACAGTACAAAACATTTAACATAGATACTAAATAGAATTGATTAAAAGTTTCAAAACAATATTAAATTATACATATATTTAATAAAATTAAACAATTATCCAACTTAACTTAAATCTTTCCCTATAGTATAATTAAAAGCTTTTTATCATTCAATTCATTATAAACAATGTGTAATCTGGAAAAAATTATACACTGAATATGATACAATATAAAATCTTAATTGGATATCAGTGAAGATTTCAAACAAAAAAACACTTGAATAAAACAATTATAAATTGTTTGTTGTTTCATTAGAGTTACTGTTAGTTTATCATAAAACTATCTTTAAAAATTTAATCATGATTTTATATGTACAACTTATACAACTACTAACAATTTTTTGATCAAGCTCATGAACCGATTGATCTTAAACCACCGTTGAAAACCTGGAGACACTGGACGGACGTTTCGTCCTATTGTGGGACTCCTCAGCAGTGCTCATCCACGACCCCGCTCGCAGGATTCGAACCCAGGGCCTTCGGTCTCGCACGCGAACGCTTAACCTACTGGACGACTGAGCTGGCATCCAATGGTGTTAGTGTCTAACATCAACCAATCCACGAAATTGCGCTACCATCTTCCATTCTACTAAGGTAGATACCTGTCTCTACTCGACTCGGATTAGCTCCACTGATCACTGCTTCTCACTAGAACTCCAGGAAATGCCACTTGAAGTCAGTCACTAGTGAGCAGATGATTATTACCAGAAGTGGTTTTATGGAGATTTTAGTAATTTCAATAGTTGAATGCCGACTCAGTGGCCTAAATAGGTTCTAGGTCCGAATCTGAACGGCCATTTCGTTTAAATTTGTTTGAATTTGTCATAGTACTATATTTTTTTTACAGAATTGTAACAATACTGAGACTGATATAATAATGATCATAATGATCATAGGTTTATTCAATACTATAAATATTTGATGCAGTGAAGAATTCTTAGAATTAGTTCTATAATACTTACACTAAATGCCTCTTTAACATACAATTGAATTGCAATTATTCAAAACATATTTTCAAAGTATTTGCTAATATCTTCTGAATGTATTCATTTATAAAAGTTTCCTATCTGGCCAGTTATTAGTTATTTCTCGATTCAACATATATAAGATACTTGGATTCTAATATAATTGTCTGTTGTTTTGTTAACGAATAGATAGGAACGAAAAGTATTTCAGTGTTTCTGTTTGAGTTTTCCAGTGATTGGTGTCACGATAACTTTTAACTCTGTTGATAAAAGCCCATCCATATATATAGCGTTAAGGTTCATAATCATTCAATTCGAGCAAATCTGAACCCGGTAGTCTAAATTCGGTATTTACACAACTGAAAAAATAGATGCTCCGAACGTTTGAGAAGATTATCATATTAGTTTTTAAATAATCACTAGTTAGTATCTTCTCTCCTTGTTTTTTTCTCACAAAATATTCACAATTGAACATATATATGAATAAGGATCCTTTGTTAAACGAATCAAGTGTTTTAATAATATTTTATAAGTTTTTTATTCACATGATCTTCATTTTGATGTGTTTAAACATTTATCAGTTCATTACGCTGGTATTCTTCTATATGAAGGTTGAACATTCCAGTGTCATGATACTATACTACTGAAATAAGTGATACTCAAACCGACCTTGAGACATTTACCCACCTTGTTAAACAATAAATTTAAGTAAAATTCTTTCACGACAAAGTAAGTTGTAGATGATTTTCACATGAACAATGTATTTTTCAAGATTTTCAATCACTTACTTTATGTTTAAACATAAACATATTTAGAAGAAAAATTCTATACATTTGCTCCAGAACATGTTGCCTATCGATGGGTTAATAAATTACTATTAATAGGTGAGAATTTGAAAATAACGTTTCAACCTATGTAGGTGATCTGCATATTTAAAAATTACTTAAGTACATAGTTGTCCTTAGATGTGCCTATGATCTGATTATAAATAATGATTTATATCCTTGTATTTCGATAACTTGACGTGACAAGGTTATAAAAATACTTGTCTAGGGGACATTTTTTTCTTGATCTGTGTTCCAATCATTGTTTTGTAACCTTCATCACCTTTACTATACAACACACTTATCTACATCCTAGATATTCTTCATTGATATCTTTTTGCGCATCACTCATTGAGCAACAGCCTTCTGTGGAAGAGAACAAACCAGCTTCCAGCTGAAGAAGAAATTAGGAAAAGACGATAGAAATGGATAGAACATACATTACGCAAATCATCAAACTACATCACGAGGCAAGCCCTAACTTGGAATCCCGAAGGGAAGCGGAAAAAAGGAAGGTCAAAGAACACATTACGTCGGGAAATAGAAGCAGATATGAAAAGGATGAATAAGAACTGGAAGGAGCTGTAAAGGATTGCCCAGGACAAGGTTGGATGGAGAATGCTGATGAGCGGCCTATGCTCCTTCACGAGGAGTAACAGGCGTAAGTAAGTAAGTAAGTAAGTACCACTCATTGAATGATCAATAATAAGCATTTCATTTCAATTTTCATCCTTAAATCTTTGAAGTTATTATTTTGAACCTGATCAGTTATACCTACTTAATTGTATTGCTTTGTTTGAACTATTAAAAATCATTAATTCATTTAAAGTATATGTCCATTTAATTTTCATGTAAATACTATACAAAAGATGGAACTGAGATTTAAACATAAGATCAGATACTTTTATGATTCTATGAAACTGATTTAAGTAAATTACTTTGTTTACATCTAAGATAAAACAGATAGTTCTTACCAAATGTTCATTTGATGAACAAATTTAAATAATAAACATTAATGGTACAATCGTTATTTTGTTACATTAAAGAGGATGAATGTATTTGTACTTTACTTCTTTAATTACTAATTACAAAAAGAAAATATTTTGCCAGTGTAAGAATGAAAAAAAGATACTGAGCTGACTGTAATAAAATAAGAATAAAGAAACAAACTTTATGAAGAAAATACATTTTAATAATGAATTGAATGGTGATATTACTTATATAGGCTAAGCACTATAATTCTTATGTTAAAATCTTAGTGAAAAGAGAACTCAAATACCTTTTCTGTAACAACTAGACAGACAAATCGATGAAGTCGAAGTTATCCTTACCGTTTACAGTGTTCAAGTATATCATATCTAACTCTTTCAGTTATTTTTTATCATTTTGTCGATGTGTGGTGTATACTGAAATTCGGTTTTCATTGAAAATCTCATTTCAAATGTCTGAAGTTATTTGCCAATGTCTGTTACAAACAGGTTAG